TCTATTCTAGACGGAAATATTTTTCTTATCTGTAATTAGTACTACTATGTGTATATTACCTTGATTAAAGTGTCAAGGTCTAATAGATTAGAATAGTCTTGGGTTGGAGAAAAAGTTCTGCGGATTTTATTAGCTCAAAACTGTATACATATACAATATCTTCGTCAAAAAATAAACAAAACTTAAATTTAAAAAAAGATTTTAAAGCTTAAAATCTTTACTTTTAAAAAGTTTTTATAATTTTTTAATTTATAAATTTTTACATATGAAAAACTACAAGCAGAAAAAAAGGATAATTTTTCTTCTCACTTTATGGGTCTGTCAAGTACCAAAAAAAATTTGCAAAACTTTTGGACTATATAACGTGAAAGCTTAAAGATTTTCCTAAAAATTTGTTTTTGAAAAATACTTCTTACGATTTCTTGTTCTTAAGTTATTCACGAGTTAAGTAAAGAAACATTTCGATTTTATTATAACTCTGTTAAAAATCATCGTATCGCAATTTGAAAAATCAGATTTTTTTTGCTGAAAGTTGAAACTTTGCTCTATCAAATGGTATAATAAATAATTTTTTTAATGTATAATACATCTGTATAATATACAATTTCGAGCTAATAAAATTCAGCAGAATTTTTTCTCCAACCCGAATTCTTCGTCTATCCATAAGTCGTCATATCTTAATTGTTTCCTCTTAATATATCAAGAATACTTTTTATTTCGTTATCAAAAAGAAAAAATATTCTTGACATATTAATCTTATCGCAACTTTATGCAGTATAGAAATAAAATATATAATACACTGGGTGTCCCATTTTAACTTTGACATCAAAATATCTCGAACATTATAAAAGTTTTGAAAAAATGTTTTATATAAAAGTTATAGAGAGTTTAAAAAGGTCTATTTTTACTGATTATATCAGTTTGACATTGTGTGACGTTGCCAAGATCAGAATGTGGTCTCACTTCCAATTTTTTTGAATTTTTTAAATAGAACTCTCTAGATGTTATTGCATATTATAGCCCTTCCTAAAACCTTTCCAAAACACTAATTTAATTCATTTTTGGTCAGCTGTATTGAAGTTATCAAGATTTATATGGTAAGATGTCGCCAATGACCTCGTCTTTATCTTTGTAATGCCACACTCTATGTTAAACGAATATAATCAGTATAAATAAACCTTTTTAAACACATTACAACTTTTAACTGAAACATTTTTCCATATCTTTTATAATTTTCGAGCTATTTTTTAAATAAAAGTACTCCAAGCGAAATACAATATTAATTCGTACAATTCAGTAGTTAGCGAATTGACTGGCGTATCAGCTGGCGTAACTCCACTTCTAAAAAGTGAAAATGAATTTATGGATCGAGTCCCAAGCCAAAAATCACTGCTAGCTCAGTAGCGTACGAAATTTCATTGGGGTACACTTTTACTCCAGTTTGTCCTTCTATAGGGTTAAAATGAGACACCCAGCAGTGGGTTCCAAAACTTAATTGATTCTATCAATTCCAGGTTTTTTAGTCTTGTTCAACATTCAGTGGACAACAAGGATAAAATGATATTTAAGTTGATACAATCAAGTCGAATTTTGAAACGCAATCCAGTAGATTATCAAGATTAGATTAATTATTATTAAGATTAGATTAATTATTTTTTTTTTAGAGAGGAAGAGAGAGAGAGTCTCCTCTCTTGAATTAATAATTAATAAGGAGATTTATTGCAGAGAAAAGTAACAAATATAAATTTAACTTTATATATATTTACGATAAATCTTTATCCGATGTTATAACTTATTACAACACGATTATACGTTTTAATAATATACAAAGGTATCCTAAAATTTACAAATCAAAATACCACAATAAAAAAAATTTTCAAAAAATTAAGTAAAAAGTTGTTCGTAAATTATTTTAAGCGATAGTTTGTGAAATAATAATTATGTTTAAATATGGCTAATTACGGACTGCATTTAAACTAAAATATGCGCTTGTTAATACTATACCGCGCATGTACGATTATGAACAGATGATTGTTTAAACGTAATTTCTGTAATTGGCTATATTTAAATCTTTATATCTGAAAAATTACTTGAAATAAAGACGTATTTTTTTTACTTAATTTTTTATAAAGTTTGTTGCTCTGGTATTTTGATTCATGAATTTCAGGACACCCTGTATATTTCAAACATTGCAGCAATGTTATAAACTTTGTGTTGGTATCAATTTGGATGAAATCGATGTCGAAGATTATTTTATTCTATAATAAATTTAAGAATTTCTCATTTAAAAATAAAATATTTTTCTGTTAATAATAAATACATAACTATTGATCTTATTTTATGATAGATCAAACAAGATATAAATTGAATTAGGAAATTCCTTTTATCGGTGTCGCATCTTTAGAAAAACAACAGAAATATAATTGCGTTTTAAAAATAAATAAACTACGTGCTATTTTATTTCTAGGAGTTTATTTTTACATGGTTATATCGCTATTTCGATAATTAATTAATTAAAAATTAATTAATTCCGAAAAAGAAATTTCAAAAATCGAGCAAAATATTTATAAACAAGGTATATGAAGTATTTATGAACACAGAAGATATATTTTGAGATATCGAGAATATTAAAAATATTTGAACTGCGTCATATATCTCATCAAATTTGTTTATCTGATAGAGACATATATGTTTAATATAATGACGCATCTAGTCGATGACTCATCCTGTGTTTACTTCGATAGCTGTATACTACGTTCTTCGTTAAAGCGAACGGTAATTTAAGCCACGGATGAGACGTTTTTGGCGTAACGATCGAAAGTATGCACAATTTATTTTTTTTTTATATAATTAAAGTTAACGGAGATTTCGTAAGCGTCGGTGCGGGAGATTGTGTAAATTAATGGTTAGACCCGATTAGACCCATAGGCGTAAGCCATTGCAGGATTTTATTTAAAGGAGAGAGGCAAATAAGATTGAATTGAGTCTTTTAAACTAGGGGGAAAAATATAGAAAAATTGCCCAGACACAATATCCAAAATTAGAACGTCTTATATTCTCGATGTACATATACATATACACTGTGCTACCTTCATTCTTTTACAAATTTCCGTGTCCTTGCTGGAATAGAGTGTCATAAAAACCGGAAAAGGAATAAGATAACGAGGAAGAGAAAAAAAGACTCGTGATTGCGTCAGAAAAAGAGGAAGGGAACGAGTCTTTATAAAGAGCAGAGGGAAAACTGACCTACTCTACTGTCTCTCTCCTTTTAAAGTTAAAGCGCACGGAGAAGAATCGACCAATCGCGTGCGCGGTACGCGCGATTTCAGTGGTGCGGCGCGGCAGTCGTTGCTTCTCGACTCACGATTGGTTGATCTTTCTTGTTCCAATCGCGCATAAACAATTTCAACGTAGCTTCAATTACATATGAGATTTTAACTCGAATATTTAGCGACCAATGTTCTGAGCGTTCATTTAAGAAAACGTGCCGGAAAAAACCTGTCGCAGCTGTTGGAATATTTTAACTGGCCTAACGTGTCATATGCGGATATGAAAGGGACAGTAAACCGGTTTATCGATATTTTAAGATTGTTCTTTAATTCTCCTCAACTAGTTCGCTCAGTTTGTAACATACCGACAGGTGTACACGTATCATTAGTGAAAAAACGAAACGCGCGTAACCTCCTAGGAATTAAATAATAACGATAATCGGGAATGATTAAACGGTACCAAGATTACTAAGAAAAATAATCGACTTATGCAAGTCCTTTCTGTTACGGTATAAATTAACATTAATCTCAATTCAACTTTCTTTTCATTCTTTTCTTTTTCTAAACCGAAATTACAGTTTATCTATTATAGGAATGTGTATTATAGGAATTTAGTTTTGAGGATTTCGAAAGAGATAAAAATATTTTTGATTAAGATATTCGTTATCTTGCTCAAATAAATTCTGTGACTTTATAAACGCTATAGGCATGCATTTGAAATACTTTTACTTGAAAAACGGTATCTGCAAAACTATTACATTTTGTATTTTGTAATTCATGAGTGCATATTATATAAAAGTATTTTGTATATTTCTAAAATATACAATAATTGAGTTGGAAAAAAAGTTCTGTGGTTCTTGTTAGCTCAAAACTGTATATATACAATATCTTTGTCGAAAATGAACAAAATTTAAATTTAAAAAAAGGTAATACTAATTGTAATCGATTGACCATCAATCTTATTATTCAATTTAATTATTTACAGATTTTAATACAGATCATTCAACATTATTAAGATCATTCTAAGATGTGTAAAAAGCATCGAATTGTTAAATTGCTGGTCAGTTTAATTCGTGATCTTATTGCAGTAATTTAGTAGTTAGCATTTTTCAAGACCGAACAATTGTTTCGGCGCTCAGTTTAGAAGACTATAATACGTAGTATATAAATTCACACAGAATTATACAAGCACTTAAGATCCAGCTAGACTGTTAAAAGTATTATTTCCTATTGGTTGTGTTCTCACAAGTGCATTCCTATGAGATTTAATATTTAACGAAGTACAAAAGACTATCAACCTTTCGACTTTAAATATAAAATACACTTGTACTGTAAACGCATTGTGTTTTAAATCAAAGTACCTCAAATACCTGTCCCCCTCCCAGCTCTGTACGCAAGAAAAGAAAGGGGAAGGGAGGATTTCACATCGATCTTTCCCCAAGAGATTCTTTCTCCTTTTCGCACGCAAAAATCGCACGATTGCGTAGCGTATCGTGATAAGCGCGACTCGCGTGCAATTGTCACGTGTTGTGTCCGCATGAAGGAGCGGGGAAGACAGAAGTGAGAAAAAAGAGCGAGAGAGCGAGAGAGAGAGAGAGAGAGAGAAAGGGAGAGAGTGGGAGTGCGAATACCAGGCACTGGAGAGAGCGCGACGTATATACACATATATATGAACGAAATAATACTAGACTCGAGTAGAGCACGTAATACGTCAGTACGGCCTCCATCGCGCGCGCGCGTCATCGTCGGGTCGTTGTGAACGGCGCACAAAGCGCGTAATAATTTCGCAGATTCCACGCGAAAGATCCGCGTGTCGGCCTCGGGTTGATCTGTCCAGTCGTCATCATCGTCATCGTCATCGCGACCGATCGCGTGATCGTCGTTGAGCGTCGTCGACATCGTCGGAGCGCGATCTCATCCCCGGAAAACGAAAAGTGCGCGGGGACAAAGAGATCGAACTGCTTGCGTGCGTGCGTACTGGAGCAGGTACACGGACTATTAAAAGGCAGCCAGAGGGAGGGAGAGAGAGAGAGAGAGATAACAGCATCGAGTGACATATAAGTGCACAAGGGTGGCCCATCAGGGTAACGGGGTGTGTGTTGCTCCAACAGCTGTAGCCGTCCTTTCTCCGTCTCGCTCCATTCTTTCCCCTTCTCCCCGCCCCGTAGACGGCAGCAGCAGCAGCTGAGGAAGATTCTCGACGGGGCGCACTCGCCCTAGAGAGACTGTCACACGCGCGCTATTAATATACCCCTCGGTGGGGCACGACAGTCCACGACAGTCGTTCACGAACGTCTTTCGAGTGCGGACGGTGGAGCGGAGGAGCGTCTGTGTGCCATACAAGGCAAAGTGGTAGCTGCATAGAACGGAGCGAATCAACGGAGGAGAGACGCCTGCACCGGGAAACGCATCGCCATCGAGGAGACGAGGATAGAAAGAGAGAAGGAGAGAGACGTGAGAAGGGAAGGAGGTGCGCATATCGTGCACGCTGGATGTCGTGGAGCGCCGTCGACGCCGCCGACGATTGATCCTACTGCTACGACGACGACGATCGACGTGCACGCGATCCGGGGACGATGGAAAGAGAACGACTCTGGGACCGAGTCCCGGCCGGTCGCCGGGTGATGCGAGCTATGGAGTGGCTCTTGTGGGACGCGTGCTGCTGGATGTACCAGCGAGTGATGAGAATCAACCGACGCGAGAACGTCGACGGCAGCGCAGCGGCAGCGTCTTCGTGGGTCACGGTGCCCCGGGAGGAGGTGCCCGCGTGGTTGCGCGACCTCCTGTGGACAGTACCCGGGACGTGCCGGAGTAAGGTGTGCCAGTATATCCTCGCCCTGGAGTTGACGTTGTTCTGGCACGACGCCGCCTTCTTCGTCAATCTCTACCTGGTCATCATGCTCTACGTGACGTACTGGTAAGTCGGTTTACAGATACGCTGTTCATGCGCGTACTGCACGTGCGCGTGCGTTGTTTCTTCTTACTCCAAAGGCGCTTCCTTTGCTCTGACCGCGTTGTAAAAAAAAAAAAACAGACAAAGGAACGCGCACTCCCGCACTCGTCGACTTGTTCCGCATCTGCTGGCTACTCCGAGAGAGTGTGTGAGAGAGAGAGAGAGAGAGAGAAATCTCTATCGTAATCTTTTGTTTTTCAGCTCAACATTGATTTCGCTGTAGATCGGGGTACTTACCTATCACGAAACATGTCGAAATGAATTCCGATCGGAATTATTCCGTTTTTCTAAAAATAGGAATGTAAAGAATAATTGAATAATTCCCATCGGAATCCATTTCGACTTGATGTGTCCATGATGGGTGCCCTGGAGGTCGATTGTATTCTTGAAATGAAGTGAAAAAATGACTAAAGTGAGCAAATTCACATTAACCAATTAAATTATAAATATCTGAGGAAATTTTGCTCACTTTTTTGTAATTTTTACCTCGTTTCAAAAGATACAAAACCAGAGTATCTATTTCGGAAAAGAAACCTGTTCACGAAAAACTAAAGAAATAATGTGATACAACTCAGTCCTTACAATGAAAAAGCCGGAACATAATAAAAAGCAAGCAATAAGAATAGGCACTGCAATGGCAATTTCAGATTGTAATAATATTGTCTATATCGTATAGCACAGAATAAACCTTGCAGCAATATTACTGTAACATTGGTCGCGTTCAGAGGAAACAACTTTTCTAAGATTCTTCAATTGATTCTTGTCTTTATTGCATTTAAATATATAAACTGTATATTAACATATTTTATAACCGTTAAAAAGCTACAATATTAATTACTGAAATAATTTATACTGTATGAAAACGAGGTTTAATGCAGCGATGAAAAACAAGCCTTAGCACACTGTGCAGAAATTTTCAGCAATATCGCTGCAATATTGCTGGAACATCATAATGTTATTGTAACATTATTGGAATAATCTGTGCTTTATAGGATACATTTTGTCGAGAATGACTTTTCATTTTGTTTTCTTTTTAACCGACTAATGTAACATAAAAATTTATAATAACATCACTGTAATATTTGCAATGTCGCTAGAATAATCTGTGCTGTATGGCAATATTTTCTCGAGTGTGAGACTTTTGCATTTTGTTGATACAACAAAAGTAAAGAGTCAAATTAAATTCGTAAAACGTTTAATATATTGACAAACTTAAAATTAGAAGCATAAATTTAGTTGTTTCGACGTCACATGATTGTGCCATCTTCAGATATTTGAATATTCGCAGTAACGTTAAATGCCAAACAATATAATATTGACGCAAGATAATTGATGATCGATCACTTTAATCCATAATTTCAAAAGTTTTACTACGTGTATAAATCATATCCATTTTTGATAAAATTAAAGGGAGAGTAATGTATTTTACGCAGCCAGCGTAATTCAATAAATAAACGTATAAATTCATGTAATGTGTTTGTCTGTTAAATTGTTTTTCGCAATATAAACAACCTGCGGTTAACTCTTACGGCCTTGTATGTTACATTATTTTCTTGTTTTGTTGTATTAATTAAAGGAGTTCATAATTTATGAGTTTTTAATTAATTATTATTATATATATATTAATAAATAAAAGTTATTTCCATATATTTTATCCATACAGTACAGAAAGTGAAAAAAAAAAACTTACAGCATCATTTGCAACGTTACTGCAATATTGGAGTGATCTATGCTGTATATCTAGCCGAACAAAAAAAAGTTAACAAACGAACAAGCAAATAATAAATTCTCGATAATTTCAAATACAAGAGAATGAAACAAGAATTAACGAGAGTTTTTTTGCGCAGTTGTCAGTGCGAAGTAAATTACAAATTTAATGTATATTAATTAAATGTACAGATATGTATCTCGGCTTTACTTGAAGCCATCTTCAGAATGCTCGAAGTAAAATATTATCAACAAATAAAAAGCTCGGGGAAAGATTCGAAGAACTACGCAGTTCGCAGAGCGTTATTCCTTTCGCATACCGTCGCATTTAAAGAGTTCTGCGTTTAAAGGACACGCTCTTCCCATTCACTGTCACTCTCACGTCTCGTCGGCGACGATCGACACTACCAACCACAGCGCGTCTTCGTATCGGCTTACGTTGTTACGTTCACGCGGTTATCGTCTTCGTTACGTCTTTCCCCATCTTCACGCGCACGTTGTGCAACGCGCCGTGCCTCCGGCCGTCCGTGACGTCACGGCGCGCGGCGCGGCGTTACAGCTGTTTTACGCCGTTTCGTGTGCACAAGAGTAACTTCGCCTTCTAGGTCAAGGCCCCCTTTCCGAACGGATTGGGGGGGGGGGGGGGCTTCGCGCGATACGCACATACATGCATACACGCGCACGCATGCGTAACGGACACGAGCGTGTATTGTAATCGCGTGTCCGATTATTCGTAGTGAAGCGCGTAAATGCGCGCGGCATTATTTGTGAGTGGCGATGAATGTCAACAAGACGTACCTCGTCATCCGATGTTTACGTATTGACGTACACGCTTCACTTCCGGTATGCGGAAAGTTCTCGTATCTATGTTTGCTTGTTGAACTTCTTTCATGCTTACGTCTTAAAGATTCTTTTATATGTCTTCCGATTTACGGTGGTAATTTATGCTTCTTTTATATTTAATTTAAGCTCCGATTTGATATTTTCGATATTTTTACTTTGCCTCGTTTTCTTTTTAGATAATATACCATCTATAAAGGAAACGCTCATGGACAAAAAACGCTCTTGCGATCTGTTTAATTTTTTTAATCTTAAGTTATTGAATTTTTGTTCGATTTGATAAAAGAGAGTAAAATGGAAAGTTACGCTCGATGAAATATAAAGTTTCTTTTTTTAACGTGTGCTTCGGTCACTCTCTCCTCTTATATTCGACTACATTCCGATTTTTATTTCACATAATAAAAAATAAATTTTCTTTGCTTTTCTTCCTCAGATAACGTGTGAGAAGAAAGTTTATTAAATTTTAATAAATATTTCTTTGAATAGCCAAGCTAAAATAGCAGAATATTTACTTACGGTAAATAAATATTTAGATAAGTAAAAAAAATGATAGTTGAGTTAAACTAATGCTTCTTGTATATAATGAATATGTGTTTACATTTAGTAAATATTCCGCTAGGATTATTCAAAGAAATATTTATTAAAATTTTGTAAATTTTTTTCTCAATGTACGTCATAAAAACATTTCTGCATTGAGAACAAAATTCATTTGACTAAATTAATTTAGTTCGTCTCTTTCTGAAGTCTTTTCGTCTGTTTCTTTTGATGAAGAACGTATATATTGACCTACTAACACTAATCATTCACAATTCAAGTTTTACTAATATTTCAAAAATATTTAGTGTTAGTCAGATTCTAGTTAAACCTCTAGCCATATTATAGATTATATTATATAGATCTTTTCTTTTTTTATTCCTTTTATTATTTTAATAACGACAGTTAATTTATTATAATAATGACAATCTAATATAACAATTTATATTTTAAAATAAATTTTATAGTAATACATAGACATTAATCAATCCTTGAGATAGAAGATCTACATTAGGAGACTCGCAATTTTTGTTAATTCACATAGAAAGAGAAATTAAAATGCAATCGACTAGTTTTATGTAATGATCAATATAATCGCCCATGTTTCGATTTTTATTTAATGCGTCATTAAAAATAACTATATTAAAGGTCGAAATATTTTTGAAAATTTGATTATTGCTTCTTTCTAGTACCATAATTCACATATGAAATCTAGCGTGGCTCGAATAGCTTTAATATTTTGATATTGAATTTTTTATTCCTGTACTGGAATTATTTTTCACGCTTTGGCAAGAATCAAACATACCTATATTTTTCTTACTTTAAATTCCAAAAGTTAGTGTGATTTAAGTAGATACCCATATAGCATGGATCGTTCCATCAATATTGGAATAACATTGCAACAATGTTACTGCAACGCTCTTCTATGCTATATGGGTATAATATTCTCCAACGAAAGTAATGAAGATGAACTAAATTAATTTAGTCAAACATTTTTTTCTCAGTGTGGATTCTTAGTCGAGAAGTTTCTCTCAATCCGATTTTGAATAAGACGTTGTTAGTCTAATTAAGCGTAAATGCTTATAAAAGATTAGAAAAAACGATATGTGATTATAATTAAGAGCGATAGGTTGGCGATTTGTTTTCCTCGTAATACAATTTATAGATTTAAATAAAATGAAGGTGACGCGTGATTTTACGCGTCGAATAAATAAATCGTTTATTTCGCATGTCGATTTTTATCGCATCAATATGCGAATTGTTTGTTGGATAAGATCGACAGAAATGATTTTTAAGTAATATACATAATACGAGTATATATACATTTTCAAATGTTTGAAGATCTCTTGTTCTATAACTTTCGAAAAAGTTTAAGATATTTTTAGAAACATTTATAAATTTCAAATAAAAGAAATTTTTTAAATACTGTAAAATATAATGAGAATTTTTTCCATCGGAGAAGGTACACAAAATTCTTCGTAATTGTAGCTAAAAGATAGATTTCACTCTTTTGTGGTATTATTTTCTTTGTTATATGATAAATTTTTTTAATGTATGTGTTCATTGTGGCTACAGAATGAAAATTTCTTGCTAGAAATTTCCTATTCTGCAGTCAGTAGACGTAAATAATATTCAATAAATATACATAAATCACATAAATAATACCCACACAGCACAGGGAGCTGCCCGGGAGCTCATATTGTGAGCTTCATTTAAGCTTAAAATGAACTCGCACGGAGTTCCCCAGGAACTCTTATGTCCGCATTTGTGAGTTCCCTGGGAGATTTAGTTTGGTTCGCAAGGAACTCTTTTAGGAGCTCGTAAAATTTTTTGTGTAAGCTTTATTTCAATTTCAAAAGAACTCGTTTGGAGCTCTCTACTCGCAGGGATCTTTCTTTGTTGAATCGTATATAAGCTCCACGGGAGTTCATTTTGTCGAATTTTATAAACTCTCCGAGAGCTCAGCGAAATGTACTCCTAGGAAACTTAAACGGAGTTTTGTGCTGTGTAGGTATTAAATTAAATTTCTGAAAAATTTGTCGCAAAAGAAATTATTAATTAAATGACATGCGACTTATCGTTATTGTCTCAATATATTAAAATATTAAATACATTAATATCACGAGTTTTTCTGGATGTTTATTGATCCAGATTGTCTTATATACTATGCTTATACATTTTGTACAGAATAGTAATTATAACACGTGATGCTTGTTGCAGGATTTGTAACATGATAGGATTATGCGAGAGAATACCGAATACGCCAGAAATAATTATCGGCGTGTATGTTAAAGTCCAAATAATAATCGCTTTCATATTCATGGACACCTTGGCCCCTGCAGAGTAAGTTATCAAAAAAAGTTATTGCTTGCATTATTGCCTCGTTATGTTGCGTTTATATTTATTGTACTTCATTGAAAAATAATACGTCAAGATAATTCGTTAAATGATATTACGTCGAGATAATTCGCTGAATATCACGTGTAATATTTCCAGTATTAAATGATCTTCAACTTCAGTAATTATATTTAGCATTTACTTATTAATAGTAAAATTACATATTTATGAAATTCAAAGAAATTTCTGTATTCCCGTAACAATCTTGCTCTCGATTAAAAAGGATTTGAATAAAAAAAAAAAACAATAGTAATCTTGATCTTTTATAAACGTAGGGGAAGGGTGTGCTGTTCGGGTCACTCGCTGTGGAGATGTTTGCAGAAGTTGCGGATCAAGAAACCAGGATTGGTAAAAATCTCTTTGTTTACTAATAAAGAAGGAATCTTGAAAAGATTGAAAATTCTAATCTTCTGTTTCTCTAACCTTATTATTCCATTTACAATCTTTTCAGCATTGCATCGCCGTTTGTTTCATAGCCTTCCACATATGGCTCGTCGACCAAATCAAGCCGTCAAAATCATTTACTTTGTCGGCGTACTGTATTCTGTTACTGGCATCTCTGATAATGCGATTGTCTGAGATAGTATCAAAGTACTTCATGTCACACAAAGGTAATCGAAAAATTTAAATTTTCTTGAGAGAAATGAATAGTCAAATCTCAAATCTTAAAGCTCATCTCTAGAAGTTAAGGATCATTATTTGTTTCTATTTTTTAGATTAGTATTATATTTCTCTTGTGTAAAAATATAATCTTAAATTTTTTAATTTTTCAATTATTATATTTTTTATAATAATAAAATTTTTGGTTTTTCATCATTTTCTTTATTGGCATAATAATTTATTCGCGCTTCATTCTTTTAATGAATAAGAAATCTTAATATTTTTAGTGTTAACAATTAAACGTAAATGATTTAGTCTTTAGATCTAACTTAACTAATTTCAATTTTGGATTGCTTAACAATATAATTATGTATAATGCATATAATTATCTAACTTTAACTGAAACACTTGATTAGAAGATGTGATTAAGAAATCGTATTAATTTTTAACTAAAAGAATTTTAAATTTCAACACAAATAACCGAAGGCTATATTCAATCAAAGTGAATCTTAGTGTAATAATAGTTTTATATGAATTTTTATAATTTCTAATTCAAGCAAACTGCGCGCCGATTATTTGTCGATCTTTAAAAAGCAGAATTTATTGAAAACATTTTTTCTTATATCTTATTTTCTTCATTGAACTTCGATTAAGTTCAAATCTTAAACTTTTTTACACACATCCGTGTGAATTCTTGCGGTCCAAGAATTGATATCGTTTTTTATATACAATTTTTAATGCGACAATGGCCGGCATTCATAATCGATTCTTATATTCAAGACAGTCTTAAGTACAATCTTAAGATGTCACGAATCAATCAGAAGGCCGTATTAGTATTTTAACACATTACTTAAGATAGTCTTGAAATAAGAATTGACTTATGAATAACAGCTAATATTTCATCATATTAACGTTTATATGAGAAAACATTTTTATGATTAATTTCACTTATTTTTCAGAATGGCAATGTGACAGTGAAATTGAGGATGAATTTTTACCTTTAGTAACAGAGGCAAATATGCTGGTATTAACTCGAGTGGGGGAGACGGGCGATCATTCGCCAACACCGACAAGTGTGCAATCGGACACTCAGAATGGTATGCATTTGATGACAAATTATTTGTCACTTAATTCAATAAATTCCAAAAAACTAATGATACTAATTTGGATACTATTCGGATACTAAATTTCAAATATTTTCGATGTAACTTTTGGAGAGATAATCAATTCCGCATTTTTCCATATTTATCCCCTTTTAGTTATTCGACGATTTAAAACAGAATAAACATGTTTAATCTCCATCCATCATTCGATCTTCTCTACATCTTTACATCTCATCGCGTTGCTTGCAGATTCTTTTTACGACGAGGATTTCATAGAAGGCCTCCAGGAGATAGCATTCAACATGCCCTACCATGGAGAAGGTAGCACCGACGGTGTCGAGCTATCGGAACTGGAACTCAGCGTCGGCGAGAACGATGCTGAAGAGAACGATATAAAGTTTCAGACCGGTCATTTCGAGAAGAGCTCCTCGTCCTCTTCCGAGGAAGAAGTCTTCGACGCGAAGAAAATCGCGGCCAGCAGCGACGAGAGCAATGGTGACGATAGCGACTTCGAAATAATCGACAAGGAGGAAATAGCAAAGATAGAAAAGTGATGAAGTTTGATTGAGATAAAAAGAAAATACGGAGGGATTATCGCGCGCGACAGTTATGATGTAAAGCTGTAAGAAAATCATTTCTGATCTCTGCAATCGGCCACGAACGAGACAAAAAATTTAATCGAGCAACGATAATCAATGGCGACTTCGCTTGAAACGCGATTGTTTCGGTCGAATATGATGGTAAATTGAAATAAAGAAAATAATATATCGTTTAAGTTATATAATTGTCTCCCGATCACAACGTTGTACTCGCGCGCGTACGAAAGTCTCGATCTTGGTCGAAGATACGAAGAAAAAAAAATTTATTTATTTAGACGAATTCAGTCGAACGCCCGTATCCTTTATTCTCAACCGGTTCTAGTCTTGCGCTACTTTGTCATTATAAAAAAAGTAACGAAGAGTAGAAAGGCGGAGACTTAAGAATAAGGGAACTCAACTGTAGATACATATATATGTATGTACAATATGATACTATTGGTATTGTATTTAATGTTTTGGATGATAAATAGGCGTATATACATTTGCAATGTAATAAATATGCACCTGTGTACAAACGTTTTAACCTGAAGAGTCAGTTTGACCTAATTGCTACAATTAAGCAATTGCACGGTAAGGATGCGAAAGGTACCTAAATACGATCAATAAAAGCTGCACTCCGGTAGCGCAAAACAAACATTTTAGATGTAAGAATGTATTATATTGTAACATGTGTCTGTGAGATGTGTAAAAATAAGAAAACAAATGCGCGAGAAGATATTGACAGTGTTTGTCGAGTCTGACGCGTTTTTGCAGCTCGTTTATGATTGATGTCTTGCTCTTATCTATGCATCTCGTATATTTGAAAAAATACACGACAGATGATATAAAAATACGCTGTTGTTATTATATGTACATGACCTTACTTTGTACGCAGTGGCATAATTACAAATTTTCAATGGCCTTAAAAATAGTACAATAAAATAGATTTCTTTGATTTCTACAGCATTCGCGAAATAGCAAAATAGACTAACGTCAAAATGAAATAAAATTTTTTTAAATGTTATTACAATAACATTATAGTTACGTAGAAAAAAACTGATTTGATTAAATCTTTCATACCTTATTTCTTATACACATAAATATTATGTACATATTTTTTATATTAAATACTTTTATTTTCTTTTTTGCACGTCACGAATTCTTAAATGTTTTCTTTGCATCTTTTATATTAATCACATCATTATTCGCGGTTCTACGTTACATAGAAACTCTCATTTAAGATTTCTTTCGAATCTGTTTTGCACTCAGATTTGATACCGCTCTCCTTAATGTCTTTTATAACTGTTAATGTATTATTTACAGCAATCGACACTGTATTATTTACATCAATCGGCATTGTATTATTTACATCAGCAGATTTTGAATCAACTGGTATTGCATTGCTTGTATCAGCCAGCATTGCATTGCTTGTATCAGCCAGCATTGCATTATTTACATCAACAGGTTTCGAATTGACTGGTACTATATTACCTATATCAGCCGGCACGGCATTATTTACACCAATAGGTTTCGAATCTTGTGATTCGTTCTCTTTGGATTGCACAGAAGTGATTGGACGAGCGTTCTTCCTCTCTGGTAACACCTTTAAAAATGTTTCTTGCCAGGTATCGCCTTCTGAGACTCTTAACAGTATTTCGAAAACTGGAAAAATTAAATCATTTCTTCAAAATGTAAACTTCAATACATAACTCACTTATTGTTAAATTTTAATTAGTAGGATGTAGGTTTAGATTCAGTCTAATTCAAAACACGTTTTATTTCTCTCTTCACTTGACTATTATAAAAATAAAAATATGAGGTGTAATGCCATTCGAGTATGCACAAGATGTTGGTGTGTGATAAATAAATCCTTTATTGAAAATAAATGTAATTTCATACGTTTCGATCCTCATTCGAATCCTTATCAATATGTACATCTACTTAATATCAAAGTGCTTCCTAGAACAATGATATGTTAGATGAAACACATATTAATAAGGATCCGAATGAGGATCGAAACGTATGAAATTACATTCATTTTCAATAAAGGATTTATTTAACACACACCAACATCTTGTACAGACTCGAATGGCATTACACCTCATATTTAGATTTAATCAAACGAGTCGATTTAATACTTTATTTATATAAAAATAAAATACAAGATACTCCCAGAAATTGATAATAACATAATTGCTTTGAAAAATTCATCTCTCATAATGCTTACCATGATCGATAGTCAACACTTTTCTTGCTTTCATCTGTAGGAATTTATCTAACGGTAATCGACCGTGTCTGACACCCGCCTCTCTTGCTAATTTATGACACATGCCCTATAATTTAAACTTTTAGTAGAGATTCAAAAAGAGACGACTTGCCAAAAAAAAATCTCACCTTATGCGCGTTGTGATCAACGAGACCACCTATGACGTACACGCAATCGTGTTCTAAATGATCTATCACATTGTTTGATTCGCTCGTGAGATATATGATCTTATCTTTAGGATAAATGTTTATGTACGGTTCCGTATGAAAGCTCACCTGTAATTCAATGAAATTTGATAGTTAATTTAATAATTTAATAAAGAATTTGCGTTTGAGGATGAAAAAGGTTTATACCGGAGAATGTTAAAAATGATTTCGTTTCTACTCAAAAAGATACAAGAAATAATGTTTTTCATACATTTTGATTTCTTAATTACAATAAAATTATTAATATGCTCATACATGATGTATTTATCCAAATTTTAATAAATGCATTATGTCCTTGCTCAATTTTCGAGATGTTCCCTAAACGGCACAAACTTTTTAATAATTTTATCATTTCTAGGAGGACAAAAATCTACAAACCACACTATTTTTCTTTCAATCTCACATCTTTTTAGGAAAAATTAGCCTTTTTTGATATCTTCCTTTAATAAATAGTTTATCATATCAATTTTAATTATAAAAGTTAGAGGAAGTATTGTCTTATTTGTATTACATACATCCCAATGCTTGTATCCATTGTGCTTCTCCATGCTAGTTCGTGATTTACCAGTGAAACTGGTAAGGGAAAATTGCATGGGTGCCATAGCCCTTCTATTCAAAGTATAGCACCTTAGTATCTGTTTCGTTAGTTTAGCGATATCCTTATCAATCATTAACTCATCAAACGACAAGTCGATGGTTACTGTAAGTGTGCAAGCACTCTCAGCCATAGTACTTCTCTTTAAGAACTTTCTGGAAGGACCTAGGCTCAAGTTATTAGCACGTGCAAACGCACGTTTCTCTCTCGCTTTAATCCTCTCTCGCAATCTGTATTGACAAATATACAGTTAGAAACTAATATAAAAATTGATAGGAAAGACTGCATAAATAAATTTCCTTCCATTTAAATAAAATTGATATAAAAATTAGTAAGAAACATATGCATATTAAATCTCTTTCTTACATACTTTGTTACAAGTTAGTATAAAAATTGTGAAAATAATATATATATATATATATATAGGATGGTACAATTTAAAACATGATATAATTCTGAACAAAATAAAATAATTTAATGTTTGAGAAGTTTGATAACCCAGAGGATCAACTGTGGATCTTGAAACAAAGTAAAAATTACAAAGTAGGCAAATTTACTAGAAATTTAATTGTGTATCTTGAAATAAAATGAAAATTACAAAGTTAATAAATTCACAGAATGTTGGTCTGTTCATATTGTTTGTATTTTTATTTGCATCCAGAATCTTTGCTTTCTGTTTCTTCAGCAGCTGAATATATTACATTAGGTTGATACAAAAATAATTTTTACTATTTTAAACTTTGGGACTTTATTCTCTACAATAAGGATATATTTGATTGTGTTCATGTTGCATCATTTTCAAGTACAGATTCTGCTGTTAATTGTGCTAGTAATTTTGTTTAACTTTGTGATTAATCATTGTATTATTATTAAATATGGTAAAAAAACAATTCCAAATTTTTTAGTACATACAAATTTACCCTAGGTTTTAAAACAGCAGGAACAAGTCAAAGAATTAATGAAGCATTCAGCTAGAAAATTACAAACGATCAAACAGTATAATAATAATTTGTCAAAAATTTATAACAGAAGTGATGGTAATTATTAAAGCAGATGCATTAAAAACTACTCAAGAGATTGTACAGAAACTAATCAATCAAGCCTTTGCTCAATCAATAGTTTGTCATTTAAATTAGATCAGAAAAGTAAAAACCTGACATTATATTTACATCAACCTAATATTTAATTGTTTTAAGTGTACAATTTTTTGGGAACTCTCCCTCTCTTTCTGTCCCTTCAAGCAATGCAAATAGATCTATTATAGATATTTTAGTCAATTTGCTCATTTTTACAATTTTCAAGCTACACAATCAATTCCCAGTTCATTATATGTACTGAAAGGCACCAAACAGAAAAAAAAATTAAACTTAAAAAATAGGATTCAATTTTTTTTCTCTTGAATCGTTTTTGAAATTGTACCACTTATACTACAAATTTTACAAATAAGGAGATTTATTCTAGGCGCCTTGGAGTAAAATGACACGATGGGATCATCGCAATTTACAGATTTTCGTACATTGCTGCCGCATGACATCAGGAGTTCCTAACCTCTTCTCGCTTTTTCGTTCCAACCACTTCTTCTCTCTCAGCAATCTTTTCTTTTGACGCTTGCTCATAGTTGGTGATTCGGATTTGACCGCAACTGTTACCGTGTTATCCTCCATAGAATTTACGTCATCCATATCGTAAAATAATTAATTTTTCCCGGCATGAATCACGTGAATCGTGCTCAATCTGTTTTCCATTTATCACCGATGGGCGATGTCATGGTGGAATTAATTAATTCCACCATGGGCGATGTGACTAGTGTGGTTAAAAAACGTAGAGATTTTTCCTTTCGCATAGGGAATTTTTACCATAAAAAAGAAATCTTTGGGTGCAAACCCATGCAGCGGAATTAACGCGGAACGAGAGTAGAACCAATTAGAGACCCTCTAACAGAGACTGGCCATCAGGCGAGTCCGGCATTTCCTAGCGAAATCCTACAAGTGAGAGAGAAATATAGGCCATTTCACTCTTTCACTCACACGAATAGTGCGTTCGTATGTGATCGTTTATTCAAGTTGATTTGAGTTGATTCAAGGTTGTGTTCGTGGTTTTTGCTCAGTACAAAATAATAACAATAAAAATGAGAGATTGCACTGCACAATTCTGGAAAAATTATTTAATATCTGTCTTTAGTCAGGTTACGGCTAAATATGTTTTAAATTATCAATTGTTTCCTAAAATTATTAGAAAGTTTGTCGTATTCAAATTAAGAACATTAAGTAAGAAAAATACTAATATTAATAGAAGATATGACAGTAAATCATTGGCAGTACACACCTTTTTTAAATAAATTTTACAAATGTTAAGTGTTTGTACTTTTGTCACTGATTTCCTAACCTTACTTTAATTTTATTTGAAAAAGATTTAATAGAATTAAGAAAGAGAAAATATTAAATATAGAAATTATTTAACGTATAAACAAAAAGAACGAAGACAATATAAGAGTCAATTTTTAAAATTTAATAACAAAGTCAAAAATTAAATCATAAATGTCAAAAAACAGCTATTATAACAAAGTTATTTAAAGATAAAGATGTATATAACTGACGATAAAACTTGACATGTTTTTTTTTATTTGACGTATATTATTTATATTAATGTAAAAAGCACGGTTTTAATATTTCTATAATATTTATCATTACATACTATTTACATTCCAAGTAAATGCAGTAATTGAAATTTCAATACGAGCGGGAATCGCTAGGAAATGGCGGACCAATCAAAAGTGGCCCCCTGATGGCCAGTCTCTGTTAGAGGGTCTCTATATTGTATAGAGCCGTATACGCGATATTCGTTTCTCGGAATATGCTCATTGAGAACGATAGAAATATTCAGTTGAAAA